CTGGACTATACGCACTTTTGTTGGCAGGGTGATGTCTCTGCTTTTTAGTATGCTGTCTAGATTTGCCATAGCTTTCCTCCCCAGGAGCAAGTGTCTTTTAATTTCTTGGCTGCAGTCCCCATCTTAGGTGATCTTGGAGCCCAGGAAAATAAAATCTGTCACTACCTCCATTTCTTCCCCATCTATTTGCCAGGAATTGAGAGGGCTGGATGCCATGATTTTGATTTTCTTAATGTTGAGTTTCAAGCCAACTTTTGCACTCTCCTTCTTCACCGGCATCAAGAAGCTCTTCAGTTCCTCTTCACTTTCTGCTATTAGAGTGGTATCATCTGCATATCTTAGGTTGTTGATATTTCTCCCGGCAATCTTAATTCCAACTTTTGATTCATCTAACCCTGCCTGTCTCATGATGTGCTCAGCATATAAGTTAAATAGGCAGGGCGATAGTACACAGCCTTACCGGACTTTTTCCCAATTTTGAACCAATCAGTGGTTCTGTGTCCAGTTCTCACTGTTGCTTCTTGACCCGCATATAGGTTTCTCAAGAGACAAATAAGATGGTCAGGTACTCCCATCTCTTTAAGAACTTGCCACAATTTGTTGTGATCCACACAAGCAAAGTATTTAGCATAGTCAATGAAGCAGAAGTAGATGTTTTTCTGGAACTCCCTAGCTTTCCCCATGATCCAGCGTATGTTGGCAATTTGATCTCTAGTTCCTCTGCCTCTTCGAAATCCTGCCTGTACTTCTGGTAGTTCTCAATCCACATACTGCTGGAGTCTAGCCTGTAGGATTTTAAGCATAACTTTACTAGCATGTGAAATGAGTGCAATGGTGTGATAGTTTGAACATTCTTTGGCATTGCCTTTCTTTGGAATTGGAATGTAAACTGACCTTTTCCAATCCTGTGGCCACTGTAGAGTTTTTCACATTTGCTGCAAATTGAGTGTTGGATTTTTATTGCATCGTCTTTTAAGATTTTGAATAGCTCATCCTACTCTTGTTGCTCAGATTTCCTAAGGCCCATTTCACTTCACATTCTAGGATGTCTGGCTTGAGGTCAGTGACCACCCCATCATGGTTATCTGGGCTGTTAAGCTCGTACTTGTATAGTTCTTCTGTGTAGTTTTGCCCCCTCTTCTTAATAGAGGTAACTAGATAAATTTAGTGTGTGCATTTAAGCTGCTGATTTGGTCCTTCAGGAATGTATTGCAAAAGTTAATAAAAATTAAATCATTAAAAATACAGAATTTTTGTGCGGTCAGTTCAGTCTTCAGATAGATGCTTCTAAAGGCTATTTTTTCCCTCTGGTCTCATTTCTGCAAAATAATAAATCATCATAGCCAGCAAATTATTGACTCATTTATATAAATATTTAGAATATGTCTGATACTGATTTTTTTTCTTTTGTTTGATTGTTGATTAAAATGAAGATACAAAGTATATGACTAATTCAGAAAAATATGTTCCAAAATTATATTGATTTTACTTAGCTGTAATAAGGATTATTTTCATTATTCTTGCTCAGACTATTACTGCATAACTTGCCAAATACCCATCTCACTGCAGTATTAAGAGGACATGCAATTTTTTTTATTCTTTGGGCATTTCTCTAATCTATTTAATCATTTAATTCATAGCAAAATACATTTGTGGTGTTTTTTTTAGTGTTAGAAATTCTCAGCATACTTTTATAATTAACTGTCTATGTTAATTTAATAGCTCAGAAAAAGAGTGGAAAAATATTAAAGTGTTCAGGAGTATTAAAGTGTCTGTGTGTGTGTGTGTGTGTGTGTGTGTGTGTGTGTGTGTGTGTGTGTGTGTAAAAATCCAGTTTAGTAGTTAAGGCATTAGGCTAGAAACCAGTAACCCTATAAGTTCTAGTCCCACCTTAGGCATGAAAGCCAGCTAGGTAACTGGGCCAGTCACTCTTTCTCTCAGCACAACACAACTCACTGAGTTGTTGTGAGAAGAATAGGAGGAGGAAGGAATATTATATATGTTTTCCCCCTTGAGATATTTATAAAAATAATAAATGCGGGATTAAAAAAATCTAATATAGTTGTATATGCCTGTGTACACACATATATATATATATATTAGAAGTAATTCATAACAAATAAAAAATGTGAACAGTATGTTGATACCCAGATCTTGTTCCCTGTTTTGCTTATATAAAATGAACTACTATTCCAAGATTACAAACTAGGTTGCCTCCATTCTGTTTCTCTGGGTTTAATTTTTGTTTCCTCACTGAACAATGTTTCAGTTGATTCCATTTTGTTCTATAATTTTCTGTCCCTTGCTTTAGTCCATTACAATCTTTTTGAATTTTGTTTTTCTCTTCTAGATTATTAGCTGTTCTGCTAATTGTGTGTCATCTGATAAGCTTGCATCTAAAATATTAATAGCAAAGTTGAAGAATGCTGACTGTTGTATCACCCCAGTTGATGCCTTATTTAAGTTTGATCAGGAATGTTTGAATTGGTCAAATGTTTGCTGAAATCAACGTATTTTGTGATTATAACATTCACACAAACTGCTAAGTAAATTGCTGTTTAAAATGCGTTAAGATGATCATAATCTGATAATACCTGTTCTTGAACAATTATGGCATTTTTGCTAGTTGAACTGTTTTAAGGTTTTATATCTTTCAATATATCAGTGTCAGAGTGACAGGTTTGTACTTCCCTTGTTCCTCTTTTTTCCTCATTTGACTGATAGGGATATTTGCCCCCAGGGGATTCTCAGAAACAATATATAAACATTTGGTTACGTTGTATTTCTGGAATGCAATTCATTTGATCCAGAAGTTCTAAATTCATTCAAAGTAAATAAACATTTCTATCAGTCTTGGACTTGTATCCTGCTGCTTTATTCTGATTTCACAACTGCTAAGTGAAATATTTAGCCGTCTTCTCAGAAAAATCTGAGCTAAAGTATAGTTAGTACTAAGTTTTCTTTGTATCCAAGCAGTTGGTATAGTGATTTTTTTCCTCTTCCTTTTATTTTGAGCATATGCAAAATCTGGTTTGTTTTTCTTAGCATTCATTATCAAACTCAATTCATTCTGAGCATATTCTAAACTTTGTGTGTGTGTATGTGTGTGTGTCCTTGTTGATTTAACCCTCTTTCCATCTCCTATATCAATATCTGTATATTTCCTTTTCACTTATTTACTTTCTTTTTCTATTGAGTACAAAAAGCTGTGTTGAAATAATATATCTAAGCCAACATTTAATGAAAACTTAAATTACATGGACACACTGATCTGTAAATTTAGATTTGCATGCCTCAAGAAGTAACTTTTTGTTTAGTTTATATAGTTGCACAAACGAAATATGAAATAAGTAGTGATGATTGTGTGTCAGCTAATATAGCCTAATTTAAATTATAAGTTCCTGGCTTAATCATATATACCGAATATGCAAGACTATTGTCAGATAAAATTTTGATTTAATATAATTTTGATATAAAACTACTGCAGTATAGATGTCTACTAGTATGTCAACCAATGACAGTATTTAACAAAATTTGGGGCATTGGTATTTTGTCATAACTGAATACATCTGTGCCATGGGAGTTAATAATACTGTCAAATGCAAAGGATAATGCCTATGTTATGATAGCCCATTTTCTTTCATATGACAGTCATGCTTCTTGTGTATTAGTAACCAAAAAAACACATTTAATATGGAAATTATGGTATAGGATAGGATAGAATAGAATAGGGCTGGAAGGGACCTTGGAGGTCTTCTGTTCCAGCCCCCTGCTCAAGCAGGAGAACTTATATCATCTCAGACAGGTAGATGTCCAGTCTCCTCTTAAAAATCTCCAGTGATGGAGTGCCCACGATTTCTGGGATTTGAAACAAGTATTCTATTTGGGAAACCAAACAGCCATCTAGTGGCCATGACTTTTGAAATAATTCTTTCAAAATTAACTATATACATGGTAAGATAAAAATGGGACCAGCTTGCTGTTGTTTCATGTATATAAGCTTTCTAAGAGGAATTTCTTTTATATGCGTGCAGCTATCTCATTTTTGTGATTGATTTATTATAGAAGGTCGTGTCCCTAAAAAGAGAAAATGTCTTCATAACATACACTGAAATAATTTACGGACACATACACACAGAGACACACATAGGTAAATGGCTCATCATATGCAGAATTAACAGTTTTACTCCCTGTGATAAATGCTCCTTTGTCCATCCAAAGTTTGGTATATCTTGACAAACCTTGGAAAAAGTATAGAATATTTCACAGTTGCATTGAACCTTGGAGGCACTTGACATAGTCTTCTCATGAAAGGGTTTGAATCTGCTTCTGAGATACTTGGAAAACCCACAAGGATCAAAAGCATCTCCGTGCCTTTCTTCTGCTTAGAGATCTAAAGACCGATTGGGGTTTGCTCTGTATTTTGCTTCTATAGTCTTGAGTATCTTTCAAATTTGAAGTATTACTAAGAAAAATCCTTCCTCCTGTTTGAAAGCCATGAGTCCTTTGACTTGCGTTTTTCAGACCTAGCAATGCTTTCTGAAATTGCCTTGTGAAGTCAGAAGTGTATTTCTGGTTTCAAGAGAAGGAGATTTGCTTATGAATGTCTTATAGATCTTGTATGCATAATTTTAGAAATTGAAGTTTATTTTATTTATATATATAATACACACACACACACACACACACACATACATACATACATATGTATGAAACTGTGATAGACATAAATTTAACAATGCAAGGAGCAGAATAGTAAATAATATCTTACAAATCACTCTGAAATATAGAAAGGCAATTGTTTTCTATTTTAGATGTGTTAACTAAATTACATTACTTGTGTATTTGTGTAAAAGAATCCTAAGTTACAATATTCTGTACTCTTGAGGATCAGTCACTGCTCAACCATTAAAGTTTAAACTTCTAATATTAATCTTTCTTATTGTGATTTGGTTAATTGTCATATTTTCATCTACATGTGTTGTAATTGCCTTTTGAAGTTTAAACTATGGAGGAGGACATTCATCACACTCAGAAGCGGATCTTCTTAGACAAACATATACAGCTTCTCAGCAGCTTCCTGTGTACACTACCACGCCCCATCCTTCTGGTAATAATAATTTATGAAATAGATGGCTTTCTTTTAAAATAGTTTAGAGGTAACGTAATAGAAATACATTTCAGGAAAAATATTGAGATATATGTTGATATACCTGTTATACCTGTTAAAAGGTTTGGGAGGAAGAAATTTCTCTGACCGCATTTTCTTTCCTGGAGCTCTAAGCATGAGGATTTAGAGACGAGCGGAATTGGTGAAAATTGCCCATTCCTTCCCTCCCTTCATCCTTTAGTTAATAGTGCACTAAGTACAACATAAATCAAGATTTCTGTAGATACTTTGTAATATTATTGTATATTTACTCTGTTTATTACTTTCAGCAACTTTTATGGTTAATTAAGTAAACTGTTAGAATATTGTAATAGAACTTTTTGGCCATTACCAAAACTCAACTGTTGTGATTGAACTTTTTGATTAGACATTTAAGTACTGAGGTATATCTAGGATAAAGCTTATATGTGATATACTTTTTCTTATAGGTCTTCCTGGAATTTTTGATAATACTACACACAGTGGCAATAGTAACACTAAAGAAACATCAGTTATGAATTTTCTCTCTGCAATCGAATCTCGCAATACTCAGACTGTTTCTTCGGGAACAACTCTTTTACCACAATTTAGGACTCCCACGTGGCAACCAGGTAACATTTTCCTAATATTTTGGTACCATGGTACCACTGCTACCATGGAGAAAATTTGTGATTCTGATAGTGGAAACAAATGAAGAAATTGCAAAACTGACAATGCTGTGGGAATATATTTAGCATAATTCTACTTGTGAATACTGATGTTGACATAATAAAATGTGAAGCAAAAAAATAGTTTTCAATGGGATGGGAAAGATTCATATCTCTTATAAAATAACCTTGAATAGTTGAAACTGTCAAGATAGAAACCAGTGCAACTATGGCTGGTGTGAATCATAATGTCAACAATGATCAGATGCCTTCCTGGCTCCAGGTTGGGAAAAGAATGATCAAAGGTCCATTGATCATGAGGGTGGGAAGAAAAGGTTTAACGATTAAACATTGTGACAAATAAACATATAAGACTTGATTTCTGTGTTCTGTAGTAAGCAAGTTTTATTTATTATTTATTTGTCAAATTTATATGGCCCATTTCTCATGAACTGATTCTAGGCCAGGGGTGTCAAAGTCAATTTCATTGAGAGCCACATCAGCATTGCGGTTGCCTTGGGGGGCCGGGTGGGTGTGGCCAGGGTCTGTATGGCCTACTGGGTGGGCATGGATGGAGTGGATGTGGCCTACTGGGTGGGCATGGCCAGCTCTACAACGTTCACATCAAGGGTACCTGTGGAGGCCTGGGCAGGAGTGGGACAGATCTGAGGGTCTCTGGCAGAAGGGGATGGGACTAGGGCAAGTGCCAAGGCATGGTCCAATGAAGGAGCCTCACTGTTCCTCTCAGGCCATGCGGGGGGGGGGGCTGGATGGTGGTACAGGCTTCTCGGAGGCCTGGGCAGCAGAGGTCAAATGCCCAGCCTGGCCCTCGAGCACCCACGGCACCAAGCCCAGCCCCATTTCCCCAAGGGGGCACCCAGCTGCACCTATCCTCCTGGCTGCTGCTTCTGTGCTTACTCTCCTTAGCCAGGTTGCTCATGATGGGTACGAGGGCAAAGTCAGAAGGAGGCCCATTACCTCTCCATGGGAGTAGACCCGGCTTTGTATCCAAAGCTTCCTTAGCAATAGGATGAGAGACCCCCAGGATAGGCCAGGAGGAGGGGGCAAGGGGATGGTGAAATGGCAGCAGGGTAGGACTAAGGCAGGAGTTCCCTCAGACCCTCCCTCTCCTCCTTTCCTTTCCTTCTTTCCTTCCTTCCTAAGTACAGAGTGGTGGGGAAATATTTGAAATGAGGGAGGGAGAAAAACAGGCAAGAAACACAGCTGGGGAGGTTTCACCTTTTGTGAGGAATGGAGAAATGTGCCATCACCTGGAAGTAGCCAGCACATGGCCCTCACCTACTTCACATATCTGTCTTGGTGGGCTCTGGAAGAGGGGATGCCATGAGCAGCATGAGAGTCAACATTACCTGCGCAATGCCGCCCAGCCCCCAGCCTGCCCGGTCTCAGCAGGTAGCGGGGCGCTCTCACAGCACCGAGAGGTTGAGCCGGGCTGTGCAAAGCTTGTCAGCTTTGCACCTTGCTGCCTGCTGAAACTGAGCAGACTGGGGGCTAGACAGCATTGCACTTCTCATCAGATTTGCATCACCCGGCTCAGCTCTTGTGCTATGAAGAGAGCACTCCGTTGCCTGCCGAAACCAGGCAGGCTGGGGGCTGGGCAGCATCACGCTTCTTTTTGGATTTGTGCCACCCGGCTCAGCCTCTTGGCACTGTGAGAGCACCCCACTGCCTACCAAAACCCCTCCCCCAGAGCCCATCAAGCCGGATAGGTGAAATAGGCGAGGGCCATTTGCTGGCCACTTCCAGGCGATGGTGCATTACTTCATTCCTCACAAAGGGTGACACCTCCCCAGCATGCATCCAGGGAGCAGGGCCGACGCAACAGGGGCTGGTTCCTTGCTGTTGACGGCCTTGTGGAGCTAAGACTGAATGCGTTTCAGCATAGATGGCCACTACAAAATTGTACATTGGCTCCCGGCCCGCCTGGGCCAGGGCCAAGGCAGAGGGGGCCGTTCCCTCACTGTTTCCAGGATGGCTTCACGGACCACATGAAACCACTTCGCGGGCTGCATCTGACCCCCGGGCCTTGTGTTTGACATGTCTGTTCTGTATAATAAACTAGCAGTTAAGGCATTCTGTAAAACCAGTTAAAACAATGAGCATAAATAAAAACAAGATCATAAGAAGGACACTATTATATATAATACAGAGAATGCTCAGGTTTCATATTACCAGGAGATTCCCAGGCTTACTGATAAAACCAACTGTTAAGGCTTTTCCAGGAAGTCACAAGAGTTTGGGAGGGATGATGTTTTAGAGGGTGGATGCCATGACAGACAAAGCTTGTCTCCTAGGATCCATCAGCTGGAACTCCCTCATAGATGAGGCCTGCAATATGCAATTTCTCCCAGACCTGATGGGACATGTAGATGTAATTGGGAAAAGGCAGTTCCTCAGATAACCTGCCACTGTAGGGCTTTAAAGGGCAAATCCAACACCTTGATGTTGACCTGGAAGCAGACTTGTAACCAGTACAGCTCATGGACCAGAGGTATAATGTGAGTTCTTCCAGGAGCACACATGACTGCCTGTGTCACCACATTTTGCACCAGCTCAGCTTCTGGATACTCTTTAAGGGTAGCCTCATATAGGGTGAGTTACAGTAATCAGTTTGGGAGATGAGCAGGTGATGAGTATGTATGATTTTCTTACGTTTGCAATGAAGCAACTTATTTAGCATTGCCAAGTTTCTGAAACTATTGTTGTTACTCTGTTTCTGAAGGTGGTGGGGTTAGGATTTTTGAAGTCAGTTGAGTTTCTGGACTGTAGGAATTTTTAATCACGGTTGGTCTAATACAGCCCTCTGGGTTCCTATGTTAAATATAAAAAGAGGACAAAATGTTTCACCCTTTCTCTGCCAGTCTTAGCATGGAATAAAATAATTGAAAAGACTGTTTCGGTACTGCCTGCTAAATCTCACGTAAACTCAGAATCTAGAGAGAACTTAGCACCAAGTCTTTGAGTGCATTTAAAATATCAAGGTGAAATATTTTTTGTGATTAAATTCAAGACTCAATAAAATCGTTAGATACCAATTTTATATTTCCTTTTTCATTAATGACTGATTATCTCTCTCTCTTTTTTTAAAGCATGCATGCATTCATCAACTGAGCTTTTTACCCCTGGAACTCTACCAACATCTGGAACCTTTCCATCAACCTCAGTTTATCAACATCCCAATGCTTTTAGCAGTAGAAACTTTGTTACTACTCCTTCTTTAACACTTCAGGATACAACTTTTAGTGCAACCTCAAATGGGCTTCTAACTGCTCATGACCCTTTATTGCAGATCAAGACATCCCAAGGCACAGTCCCCCCAGGACTCACTTTTGAACGTCTGGGCAGTTATGTATTAAGTACCAGCATACCACCACAGTCTTCAACATACCGTTCTGCTCAAGAGTCTGCACCACATCTCCTACAGCCACAGTTCAGTTTATTGCCTTCATCACTTGGTGGAGGAGCTCAACAGACTCCACAGGTGTATAACTCAACTCTGTTTACTGGTTCTACTGCCTCCATTGAAAGAGCAATGCAGCGTGAATGTAGTGTAATTAAACACCATCAGCGGCCTTCAAACACACAGTCTGTTCAGGCACAACTGACTGGTTCACAGCATTCCTTACAGAACTATTTACCAAGTACAAATGAAACTGATTATCAGGATGCATCCCGCCAATCATCTTGTAGCCCAGCTGGCGATGCTACTCAGGTGAGCAGTAGTGGTCCACAGCAGAAATCCTCTCAGGTTTCAGTGGAACATACTCAGTCATATGCATCAGCAGTTCCATCACCAGGTTTCCCCTCTGTTTCCACTACAAAGGCAAAACAGTGTTCTACAAAGCAACCACCAAGGTCAACAAAGACACCTAAACCACAAAGTGTAGCCCCTTCTGTACAGACACAAAGTTATTCCAAAATTGCACAGAACCAGAACTCTGTAATAGCTAGTCAAGCACAAATCTATTCTACAGCACAGCTCCCAAGTCTCCTGTCAGTAAGTCAGTCACAAAATTATATTTCAACACAGTCACAGAATGTGCCACCTGTTAGTCACGCACAAGCATTCTCAGCCATCAAGATTGAGAAATTACCATCATTCTACAAAACACTTTCTTATGCTGGGCAATCAGAAGCTGTTACTTCTGAAAGCCAGGCACTACCATACACGTCTGACCAACAGGTATTAACTTCAGTTTCAAATACCTTCACTGGGCAAACAAGGGATCTTTCTTCAAGCAGCCAGTCTGAAAATTATTCTTCTAGTCATTCTCAGGGTATGTCAACAGTTAGCCAGCCACAGATGAGCTATTCATCTCAGTCACAGGTCTTGTCAGAAACATTTTCTTCTCATATTCAAAACCTGTCAACTACAAGCTCTCCCCAGAACTATATTTCATTGCATTCTCAGGTACAAGAGTCACCCTCTCCACAATCTCAAAAGTTTTTGCCAGTTGTACAGTCAACTCCTTTTGAAGTAACACCTAATTCACCAGCATTGCAGAACAACAGATCTTCCTCAGATACAAAGTCATACATTAAAAGGAAATCTGATCCTAATTTGTATCAAACATCTAAACAAGATGATCAGTTTCCAATGCATAATTTTCAGGCACTGCAACAGCAATCATCTCTTGATTCCTCTCCTCAGAGACTTACTGATGGTGAGATTAATGCTCAGGATACAACTTACAAAGTTTCCAAAGCAGATAATCGCTACTCTCAAAGTGTAATCAGAAGTAACTCTCGTCTTGAAGATCAAATTGTTGGACTTACTTTTCAAGGGTCAAAAAAAGATGAAACAATGGTTAACCCTGTAACACAAATTAGCCATATTACCAATACAGTGAATCATGATATTAAAAAAGCAAGTAATTTACTATCAACAGCACAAGTAAATGCAGACAGTAAAGAACTTGGCCAGCAAGAGTCTCTTATACACAAGGTACATGAAGTTAAAGTCTCAGAACAACAGATTCATGTTGTTAGTTCACCAACTCAGCTTCATACTCAGGCCATACGGCACAGCCATCAGCTATGCCTGCCTACTTCACAGGTACTTCTAGAATCCCCGTGTGATTTACAAATGCTTCAGCAGTCAATATTGCAATCTGGTTTAGGATACACAAAAAGTGTTCCACAAGTACAGCACCTTATGAATTCTCAGCAGTATCTTCAAGTGGATGGTCATATGATTCAAGGTAATGGGAGGCATTCTCAGGAGCAGCTTCACTCGCAACACCCTGAAATTTTGAAAGTTAACCTTTCTGAACCATCAAAGCCATTACAACATCATTTGACATCCAAAGATAATTTTGAACAGCCAAATCATGAATCTAAGAATCAATTTGTTCCCCTTGGTTCTGTATGTTTTCCAGAATCTGTACTTCTCAATGATGAAAGGAATATATTGTCTAACGTAGACGATATCTTGGCAGCCACAGCTGCAGCTTGTGGAGTAACACCATCTGAATTTGCAAAATCAACAGCCAGTGATGAAGAAATTCAGTCAATTGAAAATGGAGATAGCCCTAAATCTCAGTTTCATACAATAGATGTCAGACACATGACTCCTAGCTTCAACTCATCACCTGCAATTTCTGGAAAGCCACTTAGTGTGAATAATATTTCTTTAAATGGAGGTCACGTTACCCTAAATTTAACAGCAGTATCTGCAGAACAAACAAAAGATAGGAACCTTGACCAACAACGCATTGAGATTTCTGATCAAGGTATTCCTACTAGAATTACAACAGTTGAGATTGAAAGAAGGCAGGAACAGGTTTCTAGTCAAGTTAAGCAACACTCCAGCACCAGGAGTGAATCTGAAGCTAAAAATAATGTTCATATGGATGGAACATTAAACATTAAAGATATAGGCCTTATGTCAAGTAATAGGACTCTAAATGAAGGGATTGCAGTGTCACAAACAGATTATAGCATGGCAAGTAACAATGCTGACGTTCCACTGCAACAAATATCTATGCAGCATCCAAGAAATGAAAATGGTAATACCGAAGACAAGAGCCAACTTTTACCAGAAGAGGACCCTCAAAAGCAAAAAGACAGAGGACAGAATCAAATTAAAAATGTCAGTGAAGTTGTTGATAAAAATCAGAAGCAACTGAAACGAAGTGGGCAGTGCAAACGTCAAAATTCAAGAGGCATTGATGCCAGCTTTCCTTACTCTCCGGTTCCTGAAAACTGTCATGAAACTTACCAACATCAAGAAAAAATGAGGCAGAAAATTAAAGAGGTGGAAGAAAAGCAGCCAGAAGTTAGAAAAGGATTTATTGCATCTTTTTTAGATTTCTTGAAATCTGGACCCAGACAGCAGTTTTCAGCACCTGCTATCCGTGTTCCTAATCGTGTAAGAAGACCTGTCACCCCACTTATTAGAGCACCTTGTCAGTTGCAAATCTCAAAAGCTCAGACAGCAACAGCTACTTTGCCTTTGGATGGCTCTGCTGAAAATTCAGTTAAGAACAATTATGAAGAACCTAAGACAAAGTCAGAAGCCCGGCCTTTTTTTTCTTTTGATAAAGATAATGTGGGGAACAACAAAGATCACCAAAAGAGTACATATTCTTCATTATCATCATCTGATATAAAGACAAATTCAGGTAAAGTTTACTATGCTTGTGATGAGATATATAATTTTAATTTAAATGTAGCTTTAAATAAAGATATAATTAAACCAGTCCAATAATCAATAAATCTCTCTTTTTTCTTTGTTACATAAATGTTTTGAGAGTAATTTAGTTTTGAAAATTATTAGGGGTGCTTTTAAATGTTTAATCAGAATAGTTAACAAAGTCATGTTATATAGAATTTGAATTAAAAAACTTTTTTATAAACTACCAAAATTGCTTGTTTAAACTGAAATCTCAATAATCTACCAAATGAGGACTTTTTAAAAACACCTCTACAAATTATTTTAGATTTGCCTATAACATAGATAATATATGCTTTTAGGTGGACAGTGATTAATATTTATATGTTACTTATATGTAAGGGTGTAGGTCTATACATATGTTATATATAGGATGTTTAAATGTGTGTTATGTATGTGTATACTTTGAGAGCAAGCAACTAAATTTCATTTTTAATGTGTGCCATTGTGCCCACAGTAAAAAATGACAACAAAGCTTATGTATGTATCTATCTATATGGAGTTGGTTTGTTTTTTCATTTAAATATCTTCAGCACATAATTTTTCTATGACAAGATCAGATACATAGATACCTTGCTTTTATTTGAAAGGCAAATTAAATTTTAATCTTTCTTTTTCTTGTGCCCTCTATTGATTTTTTTTAACTGAAAGTAGATCTATGAAATATATACAGAATTCCAAGAATCTGAGAAATCTGCCAAATTTATTTATTGAATTTTTATGCCACGTATCTCCCCTACAAGGTGACTCTGGGCGGCTATCAGTCAGTCAAAGCAGCTAATATTTTGTATTCAGTGGTAATTTGTAAACTAAATTATTTGTGTTATAAATATGAAAATGAATTCAAATTCTTTAAGTGCTTGTTTTGTGCTTTAGAAATTGACAAAACAGTTTCTCAAGCCATCACTAACACTGCTGTAAAGAAGGAAGGTTCCCAAAAGACTGTTACGATGGCAGATGCACAGGTGAAAACCTGTGTAGCACAATTCGAAATGGAGAGTGTTGTTACAGACCAGTTAGCAAAACCACAAGCATTGGTTGCAGTAGAAGGATATACTGAGGATGACCATGGAGACAGTGAAGGCGAAGGCATATACAGAGAGCGCGATGAATTTGTAGTGAAGATTGAAGATATAGAACCACTAAAGGTAAACCATCTATTTTAATCTGAATAATTCGTCCTTTGTTTTTTAAATCTTACTTATTGTTAAAATACCATAAAAAAATTCCATCAGAATTTGAAAGAAATTAAATGAAAATTGTGCTAATTATTTTCATGATTTGTGGAATAATGAACTGGAGTGTCCTGTTCTTGCAAATCTGTGGCAGATAGGTTTAAAATTAAAACTATTTTGTGTTTTGCTCTTAAACATTAGAACACTTCGGGGAATATTTAAATTTGGTTTGCCTTGCTATACAATTCAAGAATTGGAACATTAAGTTAGATAGTTCGAGCATGTGTTAAAAAGATGAATTTAGTCTGAAATTCACAGAATTGTCAATATAGTTTTAAATATAGTTACTGCTTGGCAAAGATATGTATTCTCTTTCTGGATATCCCAAATTATTGAAATTGAGATGTCAACAGTTATGGTACTGCATTCATAAGGTACCTAAAAGAATTATGCATCTGAAGAATAAATCTATACCTCATCTGCAGCAGTAGATTGCCAGCATGTGTTTTTAGTCAATGTTTGAGTTAGTTCTTTGGGTTGAATTGCTTTGTATCACTACTGCATTCCCAATACAAAAGAAAAAACCTTGGAAGGCCCAAAACAACTTCAGAATGCAGAACAGTAGCTAGCAGAAAGATATAACTAACTTTGTATAAACTAAATTAAATATAAATTAATATGCAAAGGAACAAGGAGGATCGGGACTGCCTGATTTGAAATTATATTTTATATCTTCCACTTAATCTGGATGAAAGTGTAGGTTTTGCTGAGAAATAAGAGAATTTTAGAATCAGAAGGGCACAATCTGAGATTCGGATTGTATGTTTCTTTTTATGACGTAGTAAAATTAATGTTAATGTGAATTTTTAAGAATCATTAGTACTCTGTTGAGAAGATGAAACAAATATAAACCCTGATTCTGCCAAAAATGTCTTTAAGACTCTCAGCTCAAGAACATTTTACAGGAAACTAATAGTAGGTAAAGAAAAATATTGATCTTATTGAGATTTGTTACAACAAGAACATGGAGGAGATAGGATGAAATCAAAACAGCAATTAAGTGCAGAGGGATTTATTTTCAATAGTTTCCATATGCAAAATTAAGAAAGATTTAAGGTGGTCAACAGGGCATTTGGAATTGAGCAACAGAAGATAGAATTTCAAGTTGAACTATGTAGAAATAATGAACAGGTAATCTCTAAAATATATAAACTTTTATGAAATTTGAAGTGGAAGAAGTTCAAGTGGAAGACTGATAAAATACACTAAGAACTTTGGACAAATTATACTGATGGGTTAGTGGGGTATTTTGTGGTTACAAGGATTGAAATGTACACTATGTTATAATTTAAAACAGAATTTTTATAAAATGATGAACCATTAATATATGCCTCCAGAAAAAAATTATTGAGAATGTAGACAACATGAAAGGTCATTTTATCATGCTTTATTAAAAAAAACCCCAGAAAACTTTAGTTTCATATACTATAAAAATACAAAGAATTTTAAAGATAAACATTCAGCTGAAACCAGAGCTTTTCTTGTTACAATTAATGGACAATCAATTAAAAAAGATCCATGGAAAATTATTTTTATATATAGTTACTGTTGCAAAAGTATTGTACGTGAGAAAATGGAAAAACTGAGATACCCACAATGGAGGAATGATTGCTGAAGATGACAGAACTAGCAGAGATGGTAAAATTAATCTGTTTGGTTAGAAAAAAAAATTATATCAATAATTATATCAATGACTGGAAGCCTCTACTTTTTTGCTGAAAAAGAGAAAAAATGAACTTGTGATTAATGAGTATGAAATTTAGAAAGGGTAGCCTAAAGAAAGAAGTGGAAACTTCCAGACAGCTCACCTTCACTGCAGACAACTTGCAGCACCGTTTGCAGAATGGGACTTTTGGCGGGCTCAGCAGGGCAGAGACAGCCTGGACAATTCCTATTGGCTTTTGAAAGCCATTAGAATTAGACTCTATTCAAGAGAGTCTATTCTATTGGCTTTCAAAAGCCAATAGAATAAAAGGGAGTAGCACAGCTAAGGAAAAGGAGAAAAAATGGCGTACTGCGTTGTTTGGCGACCCCTGTGAAATGGTCGTTCGACCCCAAATGGGGTCCCGACCCACAGGTTGAGAACCACTGCCTTAGAGAGAGTAAAATATAAATATATTTATAACCACTATCAAGAAGATCAGAAGCTGCTTCTTTATCATCTTTTCTATTTCTATTTCTCATTCACCAGTTTTCTTTCTTTTCTAATATTTGTCTTGGTTTTAATCTTATCAAAAAAAATTTAATAGTGGTACTCAACAATATTGATTATAACAGCACTAATCCAACACAAATAAATACTAATATCTAATATCCCCAAATTCTCTCTCATGTAGCCAAATTTTTGCTTCTGTTGGAAAACTCACAAGATGGGAAGTGATTCATAGCTATGAAGCTACCCTGTTTCATAAGAGGAATGCCATCACTGATATAAAGCACTTTCAAAAGATCAGATTAATATTTTGCATTATTTAATTGTGCATATAGTAGGGTGACTGAAAATTTTAAATCTCCATCTGCATTTTTGCTATCTGTTCGAAAACAATCAAAAAGAATATTTCAGATAAGGTGTAAAGCTGGGCTTACATATAAGGAAAGCTGAAGATAGAATTCAGCTCTTTTTAATTATGACATTGCATGTCAAAAGATGCTATAAAATGTGGTAAATGATTATTTAAAATATTCTAAATATATTCTAAGATTAGCTTTATGGGAATATAATTGTTGCAATGTGTAAAAAAACAAATATTAACAGAATTGGTGCTTTTCATTTTGGTCCCTGTAGGCTGCTTTAAAAAGAGGAGTGGAGCCTCCAGCCATCTGGAAAGTTCAAAAGGCTTTGCTGCAAAAGTTTGTACCTGAAGTACGAGATGGACAAAGAGAATTTGCAGCTACTAATAGTGTAAGTATAATCATTCAGCTTTAACCATATTAACAGGTGAGAGGGTTACACTGTATATAACAGCAGTACAGTGGTTAAAGTGCTGGCCTGGAAACCAAGAGACAGTGAATTCTAGTCCCGTCTTAGGGCAACCTTGGAGCAGTCTGTCTGTCTGTCTCTCTCTCTCTCTCTTTCTTCTCTCTCTCTCAGCCCAATCCACAGGGTTGTTGTTATGGAGAAAATAGGAAGAGGAAGGTGTATTAGGTATGTGTATCACCTTGAGTTACTACTTATAAAGTAATAAAGATAGGATTTTTTAAAAAGAACCTAATAAATAAAAGATGCTCTTTTCTAGTCTTGTAAAATAGTATTAATATTTTATTCTGAGAGCCAGTTCGGTGTAGTGGTTAAGGCAATCAAGCCAGAAACCATGAAACCATGAGTTCTAGTCCTACTTTAGGCATAAAGCCAGTTGAGTGACTTTTGGACAGTCACACTCTGTCAGTCCTAGGAAGGAACAATGGCAAACCACTTCTGGGGAGAAAAAAAAACCTTGCCAGGAAAACTTCAGGGACTTCTCATATAGAGTCTGAGAATTAGACATGATTGAACAGGGGAAAAAAAATTCAAGATCTATTATGGTATAATTTTAATGCCTGTTTTTTATGGTCTGCCTAGAGTTATATACTTGAGATGGGTAGCTATATAAATGGAATGAATTAATGAATTAAATTTTCGTTATAATTGGATAGGATTTATTAAAATAGAAATATTGTCTTAAAGCAGGGGTCCCCAACCCCCAGTCTGTGGACCAGTACTGGGCTGTGGCATGCCAGCAACCAGTTCGCACAAACAAGCAAAGCCCCATCTGCGAGATGCAGGCAGCACACAAAATCACACACCCTCCGGTCCGTGGAAAAACCTCTCTCCATGGAACCAGTCCCTAGTGCCCAAAAGGTTGTGGACCTCTGTCTTAAAGAATTAACAACAAAACTACTATAGAAGTTACCACTAAGAAGTGGTAAAAGCAAGAAATCTTAACTACACTGGGCAATAATCATTCAGCTTGTGAAGGACTTTAGATGGTGCTTTGTACCCTCTTTCAAAGGGCGCTTTGTGCCCCCACATTTTAAAAATCAAATGGCTGAATTGCTGCCATTTTCCCTCCAGTTGTTCCATTAGCCAGAAAAGACTTGTGTGCAGGAGTTAAACAAGTGCAAATGTCTTTTCTGGTGCTTCCAACAGAAGCTTCTTCTGGCGAAAGAAACTCTCAGCAAGGTGTTTAAGAAGTCTCAAAGTATTTCCTGTAGACTTTATGAGCATGCAAGCTACTTGGCACACAGCTAATCATTGATAAAATTTAAATTAACCTGGGGTTATATCCCAGACCCATCCACTTTTCGTGTGTTCTTAATTTCTTACAAGATTATAAATCACTTACAAAGTAAGCATAATATATATCTCTTTTTCCTTTTAGTATCTTGGGTACTTTGGAGATGCAAAATTGAAGTATAAACGAGTATATGTGAAGTTCATAGAAAATGCAAACAAAAAAGAGTATGTCAGAGTATGTTCCAAAAAGCCAAAAAATTCACTTGTTCACTCTGCAAGGTATTTTATTTTAATCCATTTTCTTGGATCCTTCATGTGTTTTTTAATTGTATTTAACGGGGAGGGGGTTATTACTACTTTTAAATTTTTTAAAGGCACATGCTTCATAGATATTATTTTGAAATTTTACCATCTAAAATAATTGTTGGTATTTTATGCTCTAGAATAGTTTCAGAAAGAAACCTACCTTCATTTAGATTATGAAGAGCTGTAATAAGCCATAAATCTGAAAGGAGCTTGAAATTTTCACTTAACCAGTTTTGTACTGTGTGTAAGTTTCAGGAATCAAAGTTTAATCAAATGTGAAAGTAAAAGTTTTTAATCCATTTGCTTGCCAAGGATAGAGAAGGTAAACATACAATCCTCAAACTTAACTTATGGGTTAAACATTTTTTTCTAACCTGCTTTTCAGAGATGTTGAAACAACATTCCCATCAGCTATTGACTATACTTTAAAAAAAACTTTATGAGAACTATAGTCCCAACAAGTTTGTGAATGGTACTTTTTAAGAGGATCATCCTTTTGATCAAATCAATTCTATACTGTCCTTTAATTGATATCATTTTCAGGCATACAAGTGTTCTAGCCAATATTCTACAAACCAATATTTTTACCAATTTCTTCCTGTTCTCTTTTAAACAATTTTGTTTACTCTAAGCTAAAGACTTTCCTTGCTAAGAGTATGTTTTTATCTATTTATGTTTAGAGATAGTCTTTGGTTAATAGAGGCGTGAAGATTTAAGGCTTATATCTAACATTGTCTAGACCCTGTAATTAGATGTTTAAACAATTATCTTAACATAGAAATGAATGAAGTGTGGAGATCTATAAGAAGAAAACTAACTCAAGAAAAAAAATAATTGGCTAAGTTGTATCAATTTGATTTATAAACAGTTTGTAACCGTTTCTTTGAATTATTCAAACTTCTAGAATTGCTCACTGTAAACCGAGCATGAACATCCCTAAAGTTCCTGATCCCCCAGTGCCAAAAACTGTTACCACAAAAGTTACTTCAATGAAACTCAAAGCAAAACAGCCAAAGGCAAAGGCTGAACCACCACCCAAAAAACGCAAAACATGGAAAGAAGAATCGCCCTCTACTCCTCAGCTGCAGAGTGATGAGGAAGGTAAGCATCCCTATAACACAGTGGTTCTCAACCTTTTTAATGCTGCCACCTCCCAACCGGTCGTAAGTCGAGGACTACCCAACCGGTCGTAAATCGAGGACTTTCCCTGCCCGGGAGCGCAGCGCATGCGTGGTGCCGCCCCCTGTGCCGGCCGAGGCGTAGCTGGCAAGTGGCAGAGACAGCACAGGCCGACCACCGGCTGGGCCACCACCTGGCCCAGCCCAAGGGAGGTAAGGCACCCGCCAGGCCCCACGCGTGCCAGCAACCCTCCCTGCGCCCGCCGGCCTCCCACCTCCCACCCCTGGCCCTCTTTTACTTACATTTTTAGTAGTTGCTCAGCAGGGAGGGGTGGAAACTTCCAGACTGCTCGCCTTCACTGCAGACAACTTGCAGCACCGTTTGCAGAATGGGACTTTTGGCGGGCTCAGCAGGGCAGAGACAGCCTGGACAATTCCTATTGGCTTTTGAAAGCCAATAGAATTAGACTCTATTCAAGAGAGTCTATTCTATTGGCTTTCAAAAGCCAATAGAATAAAAGGGAGTAGCACAGGTAAGGAAAGGGGGAAAAAATGGCGGACTGCATTGTTTGGCGACCCCCGTGAAATGGTCATTCGACCCCAAATGGGGTCCCGACCCACAGGTTGAGAACCGCTGCTATAACAGAAGAAATTATGAAGATCTGGGATTTTATATAATTTCCATTGTTGTATTGTCACATTTATTAGTCACATTGTATAAGGAGGCGTATTTTGAATATTCTATTTTAATTTTACACATTAATTAATATAATATGAAGAACCCCAATTATCTGGCATTTGTGCCTTTTTTTCTACATATAGAAGTGGGAGAGAGGGTTCCCTAGCATGTTCCCAATGTCAGTAGCTCCAGCATTTCTAGTTACTGTAAATGCCGGCGTACAAGGCGACCCGGCGTATAAGACGACCCCCGTCTTTATAGCCGGGCCGCATTGCTAGAACGTCGTCTTATATGCCGGAAACTACCAGTATTTCCGGCGTATAAGACGACTCGGCGTATAAGACGACCCCCGTCTTTGGTGCCAATTTCAGCGCTTGCGGAAGTCGCCTTATACGCCGGCATTTGCGGTATTTGCTTGTTGATCCCAATGACTGCAAAAATATGGAGCTGCCCACTCTCCAAGAAGCCCAATGGCATGGAGCGCCTGTATGCTTGTTGCTGTAGATATATCGGGAAGTCTCTTCTGAGGTCATATTCAATACAGAGTCTGAAGGCTATATTCATTGCAGAACTCTGGTTCTTTTCAATATTTAGTAAATGCAACAACATCTCTGCACAGGAAACCATTGAAAAAGTCATAAAAATTCTTAATTTGTGTTTCAGAACATGTCCCAAATAGCAGTATCTACTATTAAGATTAGTTAAACATAAATCATTGGTCTCAGAAGACATTAGTGTGGATAATAATTAGGTTTCATCAGTATTAACAGCATAGCTTTTAGTTATTGGGTAACTGCTGGTCTAAATTCCCAACCAAAGTAAATACTTTTTTATAAAGGAGGAAAATGTTGTAGCAGGACAACTTTTTTATATAGTAGAAAATGTAACAGTAGCATAAAAATAAATAAATAAATCATATAGTAATTTAAAATTAACTCATTTGTTTCTGTGGTTGGCTCATGCTGAAATTAACTTTCTGATGTATTTATTTAAAATATTTGTATGCTGTCTGATAAGCCATGTATTTCCAGGCTGAGTGTAACATTAAAATGTCTTCAGTACAATCTAAAATATAATAAAATGTGTGAGATAAAATAGAATTAATAAAATATATAACCAGTGGCCATAATGGTATCCACATGAAGTATAAAATATCAGTGTGAATATAAATATCATAGCTCAGTCATAATTACAATAAGAATGAACTCCCTGCAGAGTCACTAAAGCAATAATCAGACTAATGAAAAAATTACAACACGATTAAGCAATATATTTTTTTATTTGATATTCCAGACACTGAACCACCAGCACCTATTGTTTCTCGCTTTTTAAATACCAGAGCTATGAAGGAAACATTTAGGAATTATATGGAACTGCTTGTCAGCATTGCCTTGGATCCAGATACTATGCTGGCATTGGAGAAGAGTAATGGTACAGTTTATTAAATCTCTTGTTTGTTTGTTTTAATTGTTTACCAAATTTTGTCTCTTGTTCAGAAGCTTCAGTAGGTCTAGGGGGAAAACACTTCTTTAAGAAGAAGTCTGTGTTGATATTGAACTACTATTTCAGTTCTCAGTACAAAGCCCTGCATAAATCTAAAAACTCTTAGTCAAGTTAACCCAAATCAGAAATGTCTTCAAAGAAAAAGAAAAACAGGAAAGTCCAACTGCCTTGTGAAAAAGCATCTTTGGGTTAATACAGATCAGTTCCTGTTACTCTTAACACAAATTAAACTTTGCAGGCTTCTGTATTTTCATTCAAAGTCATGAGCAATATGCATGCATAAGTCAGGAAACTAGGGTTTTAATAGAACTATTCAGCAGATGAGAATAGGAAAAATATACGTAGTATATTAAAATTTCTGATAAGAATAGCTAATAAAATGAAGTCATTAGAACTTCTTTGTTCTATATTGAGGTCTTCCTTGAAAATATTGTTGGACCATATATCTGCTGATGCAGTATGTGAAAAAAATACTTGGCTTGTTGAGTACTCTAGATTCATTACGGTTTCATAGACAAATGGTTGCTGTTATTAAGATTTTTTTCATAGTGCTTGTTTGGATATTCCTTTAAAGCAGGAGTGGGCAATTAATTTTACTAAGGGGTCACATGAGAAATAGGGACTGTTGTGGAGGGCCAAACCAATAAGGCTGTGAAGAAACATAGGCACGCACGCACACACATTCATAAATTTTAAAAAATACGAGTAGCAATCACTCTCAAAATAAAAGCAATGTGGTTATATTGCTGGCACAGTATACACTTATTTACATTTGATTTCTAATTTCTAATTGTCCCTCACATGGGCTGGACAGCGATAGCCATAAAATGGTGGCCATAAAATGTCCAGGTCTGTTTTAAAGTTTATGAAAGTAAATGTTAGGGATTTAGGGCAGAGTTCATTATTCATAAAGTACCTAGAAAATAATCTATAAGGGAGGTTTTGCTTTCATTTTCTGTGTTAATCATTTACATTTGAGGTCCCAAGAGAATTTTGATCAAACTAGCTGGTAACTCAGTTATTTTCCAATGAAGCTGCAGCAGTTGTCAGAACCTAGCCAACCTTGGTTCATATCAGAATTGAGCCTAGTTAGTACTTGCATTCAGGCCATCTGAAAGTATCAGGATTGTGAACTTCAGGTGAGAAGCTGAAACAACTTATCAGAAGAGGACCACTTCCATATTGTTGCTAATAATATCTCTATATGGTCACCAAGGAATAGGTTCAACTTAAGGAAGGTGGCATATTTTATTGTGTTTATGGTATTTCTTGTCCCGTACTAAATTGTTCCCTTTGGTTTGGTATGGTGTAAGTAGGTTGATTATATATTAATAAAATAAAAGTAAATCTCTAAGTTGAATTTATCTCTGGTGACTATATGAGCATGTCACTACAAGTATCTGTTGGAAATCTATTTGCTGGCCCAGACAGCATCAGGCAGTCTGCAATTGATGCAATATATCTGCAGTAAAAATAATTTTGTAAAAAATCTATTTGCATTGTCTGTATATTGAATTAAAATAATGACTCAGTTTTATGATATCACATTGAAATCCTGTCCACAAATATCAAACATAACATTTTAAAAATATTCTATGCTGAAATATGTATTTGGGGCCGAACTGCTGCTGTTTTCATGATTGTTCGCTGATATAGTGATTAAATAAATGAGCATTTATTAATTATTTTAACTTATTTGAATAATCATAGAGCCATGAAACATAACACATTCAGTAAAAGGCGTCTATTGCGTCTCCTTTTTTAGATGAGCTGCTTTTGCCTCATATGAGAAAAATTGATGGCATGCTGAATGACAATAGAAAAAGGCTGCTTTCCAAATTACATGTGGAGCGATCATTCAAGGTACTGAAAATTATATTTTATTCGTAGTTTGCTACTCTTTCATTGGTTTTTATAGAAATTGAAAATTAGTGGGGAAAAGCAGATAAGCCCTTTTATAAATTTCAGTTCTTTATTTTTCCTGATATTTTCTTTGTGCTATATTTCTTTTTCAGGTTTCTGTTTCTATATATTTTGGTATATTTATCAAAATGTAAAATACAGAAATACAAAGAAAAATGAAAATAGCAATAGCCCTTAGACTTATATACTGCTTCATATTGTTTTCAGCCCTCTCTATGTGGTTTACAGAGTCAGCCTATTGCCCCCCCCCCCACAATTTAGGTCAGGGGTAGGCAACCTTGGCTCTTTTATGACTCTTGGACTTCAACTCCCAGAATTCCTGAGTCCATGAGTCATAAAACAGCCAAGGTTGCCTACCCCTGATCTAGGATCTCATTTTACTGACCTTGACAGGATGGAAGGCTGAGTCAACCTTGAGCCAATCAGGATCGAACTGCTGGCAGTCAGCGGAGTTAGCCTTTTTATTCTAACCACTCTGCCACCACAGCTCTTAGTAATGGGAAAATAAGGGAAGAAAGGGGGAAGAGAGAAAAGGGTAGAGTAAAGGAAAAAAGAAAGGCATTGAATTCCGACTCCTTTTGATGCAGTAGAATAAGGTAGTAACATAAAACCTCAACGTTTTACTTTGATAATATACACTGGCCATTTCTGTAACAACAAACCCATCTAGCAAAATCCAAAATTAAAGTTTCATTTATTCTATATTTCTGATTTGCTACTCCCTTTGAAAAAATCTCTATTTTCAAATGAACACAACATTTTTATAGGTCAGTAAGTAGAATATAAATCTATAATTGCATTTGAAACAGAGTTGCTTTCAGAAAATGTTCAGGAACTGGCTAACAGCATTTTTACTTTGCTTTTATACTTTTATATTTATAATGGACAGTTGAGTTCATAAGAGAGATTAACCTTCTCTTCCATAAGTCTTCACCTTTGGCCTTTGGATCTTCACTTTTGGCCCTGCCTCTTGCTTTGGAGTAGTAGTTTGATAGTTCCTGCTGCCACCTACTATTTTTCAAGTGGCATCTTATATGAAAACCATCCTGTAATATTGGTATGTTAGAGAGAGTTTTTATAACCAGTGCTTCCTTCATGGCAATTAAAAATGCAAAAAAAATGAAATAATGTCATTAGGGCAATCTCTTGGCCACGAAACATTGAAGTGTATGAGTAACATATTCAGTTCTACTTTCCTTTTGAGGAGATGTCACAAGGGAAAAACAATATCAAACTTTATTTAAACATTTAGAAAGAAAAAATTCCAGAGCTGACTGGATAATAATGAGCTGTTTCAGAAAATAATTTCAAAAGAAAATACAGACCACAAGATGGCACTGCTCTGTTTACAAATAGAGCAATTCAGCCAGTATCTCAAAAGAAAAGCTAGCAAAAAATAATAACATCCAATTTATATTATAAATTACAAGAGCAATAGGAGGACAGTTCAGATAGTCCTCGACTTATGACCACAATTGAGCCCAAAATTTGCTAAGCGAGACAGTTAAGTGAATTTTGCCTCATTCTACAACCTTTCCTGCCACAGTTGTTAAGTGAATCACTGCAGTTGTGGATTTAGTAACACAGCTGTTAAGGGAATCTGGCTTCCCCATTCACTTTGCTTGCCAGAAGGTCATAAAAGATGATCACATGATCCCAGGACACCGCAATATCATCATAAATACAAGTCAGTTGCCAAGTGTCTGAATTTTGATCATGTGACCCTGGGGATGCTGCAATGGTCATAAGTGTGAAAAGCAGTCATAAGTCACTTTTTTCAATGCCATTGTAACTTTGAACGGCCACTAAATAAACTGTTGTAAATTGAGGACTACCTGTATTATTTCTTCTTGCATAGTCTGCAACAGTAATATAACATCTGAGATTACACACACTTCTGAACTAATTCGAGAAAGTAGAAGAATAAGATTTGATTGACAAGCACCACACAGGAAAAAAGACGGGAAAAAACCAGGTTCCTGGATAGACTGGTATTTATAAATAGTCTTCAACTTACAACAGTTTGTTTAGTGACTATTTGAAGTCACAACGGCATTGAAAAAAGTGACTTGTGAAACTGTTTTTCACACGACCATTGCAACATTCCCATGGTCATGCGATCAAAATTCAGATACTTGGCAACTGACTCATATTTATGACGGTTACAGTGTCCCGGGATCATATGAACACCTTTTGCGACCTTCTGGCAAGCAAAGTCAATAGGGAAACCAGATTCACTTAACAACTGTGTTACTAAATCCACAACTGCAGTGATTCACTTAACAACTGTGGCAGGAAAGGTCGTAAAATAGGGCAAAATTCAGTTAACAAATGTCTCACTGAGCAAAATAAATTTTGGGCTCAATTATGGTCATAAGCCAAGAACTCCCTGTAATTCTACTGCAATAAGTAGAAATAAGAAGTTTCAAAATAATGTATTCTCTGCTTCATTTTCTTGGATTTCTTCTTCTAGTTTCAGTAGAGATATTGAATTATTGGTGAACCCCCTACTTTTCTTCAGTCCCTCTGGGTCATATCTGCTGAAGATGTCTATCAGGTTCTGCTCATTGATTTTAAAATGGCTCCAAAATCTCTTCGGTAGATGGAAAGATTGGGGTAATCCGACTCTGACCAAAAGACATGCTTCATTTTGGGTGTGGATTTTCTTTAAGCCTGCCTGGCATGTAGACTGGCCAGTTGTGAAAGTCATACTGTTTGCAGCCTGCATATTCACAACAGATTTTTTTCTTTCTTTTTTTTTAAAAAAGGATCCTTGTTTAAATTCTTATTACATTAGTAAGGCATACATTATCATTCTGTTTATTCGCTGATCTCCAGTTTTTATAACTTCTTTTTAAGGCTGCTTTGGAATGTTTTCCTGAACTGACAGTAATAACTCGAGATTCTAAAACAAAAACGGGAGCGAATGCCATTTCTAGAGTCAAGATGAATGGGAAAGCTTATAATAAGAAAACACTGAAAATTTCTAAAGCAGCCACAAAATTAGCACAGGTATGTTCATGCGGTATTTGTTTCTGCCTTATTTCTGATGGAATGTTGATCTCAAACTTTCCTTGATTACCTTGAGTGCGTTTTTAAGCAGTAAAAAACTAAATTACAAGACAGCAATTTAAAAAAAAAAAAACTTGAATTCAGATTAGATCAGTGGTTCTCAACCTTTCTAATGCCGCGACCCCATAATGCAGTTCCCCATGTTGTGGTGACCCCCAACCACTTATACATCACCGGGTGCCAGGGGCGTGGCCAAAGAAAAGGGGAAAAAAATGGCGGACAGCCTTGTTTGGCGACCCCTGTGAAATGGTCGTTCGACCCCAAATGGGGTCCCGACCCACAGGTTGAGAACCACTGGATTAGATGAAAATGAAACCACCCTGGAGGACATATATGGGGTCCCCCTAACTTGCTCAGACTGAAAAAACTACTGGTATAAGCAATGAACTGTTTCAAACCAACAAGAAAAAGGAGTGCAGTTGCCATGACTCAAGTTCCAGGTACCTGGAAGGATGGCCAGTATACCTAATAAGTAAACACGAATAGAATTCCTCTGTAAAGGTCCTTCCTTACAAGTTATAAAAACACCTTTCACTATTACATCTACATTTTTTTCCTATCTCCTTGACTGCCTTTACCTGGACACTTTCAGCCTATACACTTTCAGCCTGTTTATATTTACAACTGTAAAGACTCCTGCCACCATAGTTTTCACTTGAAAATGATAAATGTGTCATATGTTAAATTGATACAATAAGCAACCATGCTACATCTTTTAATCTTTTGTGTTAAATCCAGAGTGGATAGTGCATCAGGCTAGAAATGGGAAAACTATCAATTCTAGTCCCATCTTAGACACGAAAGCAGCTGGGTGACTTTGGGCCAATTACTCTCTCTGTGTCCTAGGAAAGAGGCAGTAGTAAACCATTTCTGAAATCTTTCCAAGTAAACTTTCAGGGACCTGTTCAGGAATCAACATCAACTCAAAGGTATCCCCCCCCCACACACACACACCAAAATTGGTCTATAAATCATAGGCGAACTTTCTTTAATAAACATATATTTGGTAAGAAAGATCAATTCCATATCTGAAACGTTAAACTGATGTTCAGTTGCTAAATTGTATCCAACTCTTCACAACCCCATACACCATAGCAGGCCAGACCCCAAGTCCTGCACCCTCTGTTGGAGTTTGCCCAAATTCATGTTAATTATACTATCACAAAATGATGACTTCTGGTTTAACAAGAACACATAGAATTCTGTGCATAAAATCCCATAAAGACAACTCCAGTCATAGAAGAACAAGGCAAAAGGAGCCATTAGCATTATATTACACCTGGTTATATACAGAAAAACATTTTCCTATAATTTAATACAGTTGTTACTTTCTTCAAATGAAAAATAAATATGGAAATCAAGAACCATGTATTTTATTATTAGATTTTTATCCCACCTTCAAAAAAAAAAATTAGTGAACTCAATGCAGGTGCTTAATACTCATTCCTCTTCCTATTTTTCCCTTTTCCTGTGAGATGGTTTGAACTAAGAGAGTGTGTCTAGCTCAGGCATGTCAAACTGCCGGCCCCTGGCCAGATGCGTCATACCGAAACTGCGCCCACCCCATTGGCAGCAATGGGGAAAAAGTCCCAATATGTCACGCGACGTCATGTGATGTTGCGAGTTTGACATGCCTGATCTAGCCCAAGGTCACACAGCTGGCTTTCATTGCTAAGGGAGGCCCAGAATGTACTCTCCTATTTCTAGACTAGCAACTATTACACCAAAACAATCATTAAACTGGCTGTTTTGTAGCTATAATATTAGAAAACAAAAATCTGGTTAATGGAGAAAAATGATTTATTTACCCTTAAAAATAGCTGAAAATCAGAGAAAAAAAAAATCAGGACTCAAAATTGCTAGTATACAAGTAGTAAAGTAAGGGTACTGTTACTTCTCTTAGAATCCAAGGCACATGCTCTCTCTTTCATGTCATTAGAAGTGACAGTTTTCTGATTTCTTAACCATCTTCCTTCCTTCCCACAAGTGGAAACGTGCTTCCAACTCAAATTTTCTTAACAATCAAAATTATTCACAGCCTTACGTGAAATAATATTATATAAGAAACAAAATATACATGCATAAAATAAACTTCCTTCTGTTTTTGTGTATGATTTTATGCATAGCCAGTGGTGGGATTCAGCCAGTTTGCACCACTTCGGCAGAACCGGTAGCTAATTTTTTGTTGCCCAGGTGCAGAATGGACTTCCGGAAGCTGCATCCACACAGAGAACCGGTTGTTCACATATTTGAATCCCACCACTGCATAGCTATGAGTAAATTTTTATATCTTCAAATAATTATTAGTATCAAGAAACTTAGTTACTAGTGTGGTTAATAAATATTTGTTTCTGCAGGAATTTACTGTGGATCCAGAAAAAATTCCTTTGTGTTCTTTGTATCATTCACTCCATCATTACAAATATCACATGTTTCTCAGATGTAAAGTAGAGGTGAGTCTTTCTCTAGTTTGTTATTATTCATTGTATTCATTGATGCAGTAGAATACATCAATTAAAAATTAGATGACAATACACTATTTTTAGAAGATATTGAACAGCTTTATATTTAATGAATCAAGCTTTACAGGTTGCAAAAAGAGAGCTAGTTTGGTGTAGTAGTTAAGACATCAGGCTAAAAATCATAAAACTCTTGAGTTCTAGTCCCATCTTAGGTACAAAGGACTGGATACCTTGGGTCAATCACTATCACTATCTGGAAAGGGGGCAATGTCAAACCATTTCCGACATTGCCCAAGAAAACTGCTAAGACAAGCCCAGGCAGTTGCCAGGAATCAAATACTGATTCAAAGATACACAATTGTAAAAGTGTCGTATGTCATGGGGACATGAGATATATAATATTTATTAAACCTGAATGAATGCAGATCTCTGGGGCCAGTTGGATTAAATCTTAGAAAACTGAAAGATATTACTGATGATCTTGTTGATTCCTATGTGTTCACTATTTTGAACAATTCTAGATAATGTGTAAACCTGAACTGGAACTGAAATTTAGCAGAAAAGAAAAGAGTTTGTTTTTTTATATCTATTGACACTTCAAGAGTTTACAGTTGGGGTTAATGAGAGTTGTGATCTAACAAGATCCATTACAAATATTGGGGATTCTACCACACCAAGTATTGTAATAATTCATTAGAACATCAGGAAGCATACTTAGGAGATTATTGAATAACCCTGAACTTCATTTATACTAAGGTTACCTCTGTCACTATAGTAAGTGCAATATACTCTCACAGACACTGGGAGAATGCATGCATATATCGTTAAAGTATTAGACTTCAGAGTACTAGGAGAAATAATAGAAAGCTAACTATGTGACATTTAATTTGTTCTCTCAATAGATTTCTTCCGTTCAAAAAAAGAATGCAGATCTAGGTCAAGAGGAAATAGTACAGCAGTGCATGAAAAATATAAAATGGATAGAAGATCTCTTTGAGAAGTTTGGTGAACTTTTGAATCACGTTCAGCAGAAATGTTCCTAACAAATATTGATCCAATTGTGACTTTTTTTTTTCTTCTGTTCTACTCATCAAAATAAAAGAATAGGCTGATAGGCTGGTCATGCCAAGCTTTATTCTAGGTCAAAAGAAATCATGATATTCTGGGTTCCTTGGATTCTAGTAAGAAATATATATATATGCTGCCAAGCAAATGGAACTACAAACAAACCTGCATTTTTAACTTGGAGAATATTTTTTTCCTATTTTGTAAACACTTGTTTTGAAATAACTTAGGTTTATTTTTGACAAATGATCAAAGCATGTACTTAAATATATATTTTGGCTATGATTAAAATAACTTTAAATATCATGCCATTTTTTTTTTTTACTCTGAACACTAGGAAGAGTCACAGTGGTGGTAACTGTGACAAATCAAGTAGAGTCTCGAACATTTTGCAGAGAAATCTAATAGGACAAGAATGACTGTATGAATAATCTCCATCCACATTCAAGAATACCATTCTCCTTTATGAACTCCAATTACTGATGTTATATTCAGGAAATTCAACATGGATTTGGTGCAATCCTATGACTGCTATTTTGTGACAGATTATATTATAATAAAAACAATTAATTAATTATTTTCCCTGGGTCTTGAAGAAAGACATAGTGTTCCTTTACATTTGTGTTCTTTATTTTTCCCTTTGGAAAGAAATCAATTGTACATTTTATCCCACAAATAGTTGTATTTTTCAGAGGAAAAAGTATTGTGGATTAAAATCATTTCATGTACCCTTGTAATACATTTCCAATTGTTTTCTTGTTCATTTTATATATTAATTTCATTTTGTAAACTATGTATCTTGAGATTATATTTGTTTATACAGGTTTGCTTCAGTGTTAACCATGAATGAGACATATTAGACTTCATAAGTTTGCTTTATGTATGGTTATATTGACAGATTGCAACTTATTTTCTGATAAATGAAAGATGATTTTTGTCTTAAAATTGCTTGATTAATAGAACATTTCAATAAACAGCTACTACATTGGTCCTCAGTAAAGTGAGAATTAGCAATTGACCAGGCTATATGCAGTGTTGAAAACAACTGACTTTTTATTTTTGTTATTTAGAATTGGTAATGGCAGAACTGTTTGTTTCTTGGTGCCTTTTCGGAGTCTCAGGCATCTTTTGTAAATGACTTTCTCTGATTAATTATTTTTCAGTCAGAATCAGTAGTCCTACTTAAGTTGCAAATGGGCTATACTTGCATCAATAGGAAGTTTTTTTTTTAATTTGCTAAAAGAATGCCTTACCTCAGCCATTGATTCAATATGTGCAGGACTTGTTGTTTAGATTTTGTGAAATTGAAGATCCTATACGTCTATCAAATAATATATTAAAACAATTAATTTCTCCTGTCACTGCCACCTAGTGCCTTAATTTCAGCCAAGAAAACAGGTTTCCTCATTCACTAACCAATCAGGATATTATTATATGTAGCACAATGTATTTTCTTTAGTTATACATGTGTTCATGCACCTTAGATATGTAAAATACAATGAAGGGCTGTGTTCATGAGCAATTAAACTAGGATTTCAAAATATCATTTTATCTTAATGTGTATGTTATGTTGGACAACTTGTGTATTTTCCAAATATGTTTTAATGTTATTGGAAGTAGTACTTCTCATTTCATTCCTCTGATGGGTTCAGTCAAAATACTGATAGAAATTGATAATTGGATTTAAATTGAAAAAGTCAAGTTGTGATACCATGGCTATGAAACTTGAATTAACGCCTTGTGCTAAGATATGGTTTGTTTTAGCTATGATTTTGTTCCATAAGTGATAGTAGCTGTGTTTACACAGAAATAACCCACAAACCATGGTTTACATGTTAGATTCTAGATCCGATTAAGCTGAAACAAAGAAAATTATATTATGGCCTAGCACAATGTGTTAATTCAGTCCAAATATATTTCCATTGATCCTATAAAAAAGTTAAAGATACATAATTATATATTATTGACTAAACCTTGATTTCTCGCTTAAGAACAATTTGTGAAATGCATCTGGTTATAAGCAATAAACCGGTACTGCTTGAAAGTGGGAACTTAGCATAAGCACATTTACTGGAAATAGATATACTTCATTCTTACCTTAAAATCCAATCTTATATTCATCTGGATACAAGCCCCATTTATTTAAAGGACTTTTTTTTATTAAATCAGTAGGACAGCAGTATAAGAATACTGTTCTGCATTTTAAAAAATGGAACCTTTTTTTCTGCTATAGATGCAATAGCCTACTTATTTGGGATGGGTATTTAAAGAAGACATAATTTCCATATTAATTTCTAAAACGCCAAAAAAAATTCAATTGAAGGTTTATAAATGTAATCCAAAAATAGCTCTTCTACCACCAATTTAAAACATACCTTGAAAAAGGCCTATGAATAGAAGATGTAGGTGGAGTATGACTGGTTCATCAATTGTAATTTATTCTAAATTAGCAATTAACACAAGGGGACTTAGTTGATAAAACTTTAAAAATGTGATTTTTTAAAATATTTCAAAGGCCTGTCCATTTCAACTTCTCACCATCAATTCTTAAACCAACTTTGAAATTTGTATCCATTCAATGAAATAAAAAGACTTTCAAATTCTAATTTCAGACTGCAGTCTTACAACAGTCTCTTCAACTTCATTAAAACCAATAGAACTTACAATTAGTTAACCTGTACATAACTATACTGCTGTGTCAGTTTTCTGTTTTAATCTTAGGTGGCAACTGTCAAAAGATGGGGAAGAGCTTCTCAGGATTATGGAAGTAAATATACAAGTTTTAGTGTTTTAATAAATAAATAAAGATTCCCTCATCAATTTAAACGACCCCAGTGTTTCACACAGAGACCATACTATATTTGAGGAGATTGTTATACATTAATTTATGCAAATTATTTATGAGGTCAATTGGGTTTTGTCATGGAAAAGAAAATGCATGTTGAAACACACTTATTGCCCTGGGTGGTGTCATATTTTAGGAATAAATTTGTGGTGAGGACCAAAAAATGTTTTAGGTACTATCACTCGCAGTCACTGAACTTTTTGTTGAAAATCGTAATAAATTTAATGGGAACTCCAGTATTCACTGAAATATATAAAAACCTGCCAGACACCACAGTGTTTGTTTTCAGATGGTATTCAAAAAGTGCAACAATTTAGGATATCAGCAAACAAAAGGGCAAATATGTAGCAACAATAAATTTTATTTTCATTCAATTATTCAAATTTAATTTTTGCAAAGTCATTTTATTGCATCTACATTTGAAGTATATTACTTAGAAACTTAACACTTAAGTACAATCCTTATTCTGAAAAAAAGTTCAACATTCCTTCTTTTAGAGAAATATCAGCACGGTCACAAAAGTAAAATATCTAATAGGGCCTCACTTAAACATTGAAATCACTGGGGTTTGATTCCAAATTAATCTTTTTTAAAGACAGTTTTTCTGTTTAAGCTGAGGATCTAATAATTTTAAGTATTGTGCAAGCTCAAAATAGTTAATTTTCTCAAAAGTACATAATATCCTAATTTCACAGTTTCTTAAACTGTAACATTTGAATTTGCCCTCCAAAATAATTAAGCATACGGTTGGAATGAGAGAAAACAAATTAATTGATGTTCTGTATAAAAACTATTACATCATTTTCTTGACACTTCAGCAATCACTGTTTTATATTCTCAATTCTGAAAATGTGAATTACCTGATGTTTTTGAATCCAGATATTGCTTGTTTTAACAGAAAAACAACTGGGTTGTACAGCCTGCTCCACCAAAACACAGTATAATTTTCTTTTTCCTTTAATAATATATGGTTAAAAGGAAACTCAACCTGTCTTCCAATAAATAGTTGTCATAGAGAAAATATTTTTAAATATTTAAATTTGTACTACTATTTAAAGTAATTTAAAAAAATGAACAAGCCAAAACTGTTAGGAAACTGAAAATCAGTTTATAGTCATTTATGGTTTTGTTGATGACAGTGTTTCATGTCATATACTTACATACTATTTTGTGTGTTATTATGCAGTGCACATATTTCTTTATTTCTTCCTATTTAAGTTAATGCTCACAAATGCATGGTAATACCTATCCTCTATCTACTACAAACATGTAGGCTAGGATTAAAGGATATTTTCTAGCCGGTTTTCACATGGTCCACAATAATGTACAGACTTATGACTTTTTCATAATTTTTGTATTTTTGATTTGATGTTACTACATTCATTAAAGTGAATACAGTTTTTCAAAATACTGGGTACTCTTGTTGATTAATGTGGAATAATTGCAATGTCTGAGATAAACCTGTTCTATTCAATAGGAAAAGTCTTGTATTTTGTTAATATGATGGTCCAGTTATTATTAATTAATTTACAGGGCTTATATGGTGACCTATCTCATACAGTGACTCTAGACAGCTTACCAACAATCCATGAACAACCCATAATTAAAAACATACCTTTCCCCAGTAACAAAACAAATAACCTCACAACTAAACTATCTTAGCCCAATGCTCAAGGGAAGAGCCAAGTATTCACCACCCTCTGGAAGGCAAAAAGAGTAGGGGTCCCTCTGATCTCCAGTGGGAGGCTACATCAAAGGACTAGGGTGACCACTGAGAAGGAACATTTTAAAGGTCCTATTAGATGGCACTATTTAAGCAAGGGGAGCACACACACTATCCTAGTAAGATGGGCAGATATCCTCAGGGACAGATGTTCCCACAAGCCTGCCTGTGTCATGTAGCATCTTAAATTGCACACAGCAACTAGAAATCTGTTCAGTTCACACAGCAATGGTGTTGCTCAGATGAACCACAGGATACGCAACTGTTGCTGCATTCTGTACCAGCTGCAGCTTACAGGTGGTCTTCCAGGGCAGCCTGTGTAGAGCACATTGCAGTAATCCAAGTGGGAGGTGACTAAACCCAGATGACTGAGCAAGACGTTCCAGTCCAGGAATGGACAAAATTGGTGGATTTATGCAAAGACTTCCCTTGACCACAGCTGCCACCATGACCATGGCTGCCACCATTGGTCCTTCCAGCAGGACCAATAAGTCCAAGAAGACCCCCAAATTGTGCACCAGATTTGTACAGAAGAGCATTTCCCTATCTAGAGTCAGCCAATGTTCCTGACCCAGGAGAGTTTAAAAAACACATCCATTGCATTTGCTAGGGTTGAGTTTCTCCCCATTCAGGTCCTTGTAGCCTCCAGGCACTGAGCCAGCATCTGAATGGCATCACTTACCTGATGTGCAGTAGAGATGTATAATTGGGTATCATCAGCATACTGAATGATACTGAACATTATGCTGGTGGATGACCTCTCCCAATGGCTATATATAAATGTTAAGTATGAGGAGAGGAAGCCTTGAGGCAATCCATATAATAGGGGCCTAGGCCTGGACTTCTCCACTGGCACCATCCCTGACTGATAATGACCACAGAAAAAAAGAGGGGAATCTTCAGGATGCTTTAATTTTGAGTGAAGCTATTGTTCATATGATGAAATGAAATGCAGAAACCATTAAACTCAGACCATTTATGAAATGCTTGCAATAAAGTCAGCGTTATTTCAGCAAGGCTGAAGCAGTAGGATCCAAACAGTAGTAGCATTTCTATATTGAAAAATCTTCCTATTATTGTTTTAAACCTTTATCACTGATTGTTAAACATAGACAGTTATATATAATGTAAGGGATGCATACAAAGTATTCAAGCACCTTGATTATCTGCCATCAAGTTGGTGTCAACTCTTAGCAACCACGTTGATTTCTTCCATGACAATCTGTCAGATCTCTGAATAGGGCATCCATGGCCACTGTAACTGAGTCCATCCACCTTAGTATTGGCTGTCCTTCCATCTTTCCCAACATTAGCATCTTCTCTGGAGAATTAGATCTTCACATAATAATCTAAAGTAGGATAAGTAGAGCCCAATATTTTGTGTCTGTGAGTTGAATTGTTTGATGATTCATTTGTTTTCTTATTTCCTGGCCACAGAATTCTCAATTTTCTCCAACACCAAAATTCAAAATCCTCAATACTCTTCTACTTCTTCAATATCCAGCTTTTGCTTCCATCAAAGGGATTACTATAGCTTGCGTATTTTGATCTTTATAGGTATAGACACTTCACAGTATCTAAATATGTTTTACAGGCCTTCATGGATGTTCTACCAAGTGCTAGCCCCCAGCATATGTCTTGATGTTTGATCCTTTGTGGTTGATGGTTGATCATAAAAGACACAAACCACATATTACTTTAATATATTTTAGAATTATTCTACATCTGGCTGTCATACCTGTCCTCTTTGGTTTGGTCTGCTTTGTATTTAATTTTAATTCACTTTTTTCACTTTTTTTCTTTGACTTTTCTTACTAGATCTTGCAATCTTTTGCATTTTTACTACTAGCGTTATCAGGATAGTACATGCTACTCATGTTCCTTCCTCCAATTTTAAAACCATACTCATCTTTTTCCAGTCCAGCTTCTCTTAATATGTACTGCATTCAGTATGTACCTTCAATAAATAAGGCAAGAGTATACAGCCTTATCTCACTCCTTTGTCAAACTGAAGTCAAACTGCTTCATCATGGTCTGTCCATAATGTGGTTTCTCATGAGGACAATGAGATGTTTTCAGATTACCATTTTTCTACAACTTGACATGATCAACACAATCAAAGATTTTTCAGTAGTCAATGAAGCACATACTGATTTCTTTTTGGTATTCTTTGGCTTTCTCAATTATCCATCATACATCAGCAGTAATCTCTAATGATTCTCAGCCATTTCTAAAGTCAGTTTGAATATCTCACATCTATTTTTCCATGCAGGGAAAAATGTTTCTTATCATATTTCAGTGGGTATTCTATCAGTTGTAAGGGTATTCTGGGGTACTGATCTAACTTTATCTTCCAGTATTAGAAGTTCTTGTAAAAATACCATACAGTGTTTTGATATACTCCTTCCATCTTTGATCTCTTTGAAATCAATCAATATCTGTCCATTGGTGTTCTTTACCATACCAATTTGTGGTTGGAACATCTTCCTGAGTTGTTGTTGTTACAATACTGTTTTTGTCTTCTAATAGCTCTCTGAAACTCTTCATTAAATTCCTTTCTGAAATTTCTATCTTTCTTGGTTTTGACTTTTCTTTTCTTCTCTTCTCAGCAATTTCCATGGTTAGTTCTGACATCTACTTTGCTTTCCTTTCTTTCTTTATTTTGGGCAGTCTCTTTTCACGTTCATCCTAAACTTTTTTGTTCATTCCACAGTTCTTTATCAAAGAGTTACAGATTTCAGAGTGATTCCTGATGTACTCTTTGAAAATGGTGGATATATTCTCAAGTTCATATCATGGAAACTGGTTGACTTCCTTCTTTACGTTAACTTGGAACTTGTGCAAGAGCAGATTTGTTCCACACTTAGCACCTAGCCATGTCTTTGATACTATAATTGAGCTCTTCCTTTTAGCAATAATATAGTCAGTTTGATTTCTACACACTCTTTCTAGTGACATCCATGTAAAAAGACATCGTTTTGGTTGCTTAAAGACAATGAAGACAAGTTATGAAGAAATCCTGGGTCCGTTTTTTTTCCCTTTCTTGAAGATGGGAACCACATCAGCCTTTTTCCAATCCTCAGGTATTCCCTGATGCTCCAGGATTTTTAAAAGATGTGGTGCAATGGTTCTGAGATAACATCTGCCAGCTCCTTCAGAACTCTGGGATGTAATCTGTCAGGCCCTGGTGATTTATATTCATCAACGTCAGATAGGTATTCTCTTACCATTTTCTGCTTATTTTAATTTTTGTTTCTAATTTGTCTTTTGCAGTGGGTTTTTTTTTGGTATGTTGGGCTATAGTTTCTCTGATGCAAAGTATGAGTTAAGCAGCTCTGCTTTCTCCCTGTTGCTGTTATTTCCTTGCTATCTTCTCTCTTTAGTGGACCTACAGTTTCCTTGATTTTTTTCTTGTTGTTAATATATTGGAAGAAACCTTTTTTATTATCTATGATTTCCATTGCAAGTCTTTATTCATTCTGAGCCTTTGCTTTCCTGACTTCATCTTTGCATGTTCTGGCTGTCTGCTGATAATCGGCATAATAGTTACATAAATAAATAAAACCCATCAACCTCCTTCTGCATCAGCAGTTGGAGCATAGTTGAATGATTATCATACTAAAAGGTTGTTATTTTGAAAAGATTGATTTTAAAGGGCACACTATCCCTGTTTCAATGATGCTATCAGTATCCAATGCTTAGTTTTGGATGCAGAATGTAATAAACATTGTTGCAACTTCATTTCAGTATATATTTGAGCAGCGTGGTGGCCTATTGGTGAAGATGCTCACCCACTAGGAAGGTTGAGAGTTAAATCTTAGATAGTGGCAAATATTTCCCTTCTAGGGAGCAAAGAAAAAAATATCTGCTGCAAACTCCACATGGTGTCAGAAAGGACATCTGGCCAATAAACATTCAGCTCCATCCAGTCACCCTGACTCTACCCTGACTTAAGGGATAGAGAGTTGTAAAAAGGGAGTTTTAAGCGGACCTTGCCATAGTGTGGGAATAACACTAGGAAGGAGAAAAATATATGAAACCACAACAATGTTTAATACATTGTTGAAATGTATTTATTATATAAATGTATTACATATTGAAATTTCACACAAATAAGGAATTTGGATAGAACTTGACTTCATCATTGTACTTTACAGAGAGATACATAGATAAAAAATATCTTATAAATTTGTACACATCCTGAGTATTTTCCAAATAGCCACACTGATGCGTTGATTTGCTCCCATTTCTCATTCTTGCTATTTCCAAAATTCTGGGTCTCCCAAACTGTTAATAATATAAAATTTAGTTTCCTACAGCGTGGGTCCCACTGAATTTAATGAACTTTCCTCTCTAGAAGTCTGGTGAGGACTCCAACCTTAATATTTTCATATTTTGATGCTCCTTCCTCCCAACTTCCTTCTTTTCTCTGCCTTAGGCTAACTTAATGCTACAAATAGGATGCACACTTCCTGGATCAAACAGGTTTCCTTATTAAAAAGTGTCAAAAAACAGGAAGCACTGTATCTGATTTTTAATAGAAAAAATATACCCACTAACTCAGACATGTCAAACTCACGATGTCACGTGATGTTGCGCAATATATTGGGACAGTTTTGCCATTGCCGGCAATGGGGTGGGCGCGGTTCTGCATGACGCATCCGGCCCGTGGGCCAGCAGTTTGA